AGCCGTTCGAGCGTTACGGGTTTAGCCCTGAAATTTCAGAGTTCCTCAAACAGGCATGAATGAGGAGCACCTCCTTGATTGTAATTTTAAAACGTCCCCCTTACTTTATACTTATTTTTCTTCCAAGTCCTTCTTTTTCTTCCAATTCCTTCTTTTTCTTCCAATTCCTTCTTTTTCTTCCAATAGGGATTCTCAAAATGGGATAGATCAGAATTTGGCAGAAATTTTCACTTATAACGAATTGGAGAACCGTCTTACTATACGCCGGAATGGTACATCCAAAACCGTTGGAGAGATTTTGGCCATGCATTAGTCAATATACCTTCAAACAAAAGAAGGCATTACTAGAAAACTATAGCATTTTTCCTCTTCTGTTAACATCTTAGGCCATCAAATTGTGCCTTTGTTAAGTACCTACGTGTTTTGCAATACCTTCTGTTACATACTGATACTCCGTATAGAAGCTTATTTAGTGGCATTTACTTTAAATATTACTGAAAGTTTAATTTAATTAAAACACTGTTATATCTTGTCTTTGATTTATATCACATGCATTCGCCCAGATTAGAAAATATCACAACTTGCAATTCATAGCTTTGTAAGCGAAAATCCGCTTCTCTGTTGGTGTACTAGTACCATTCTGTAAGCGAAGAATTTAGTATTGGTTGGAGGCTACAGGGACTCCCGTTGCTGCTCAGTCATAACTGCCCTTTTTTATAACGATTATATAAGTATAAAACCAAGTATCTCGTTTAAAAGAATTTGATTTTGGTAGCTATACATTTTAAGGTAGTCGCCTAATTATTGCAAATTATTGTTGATGAGTAATTCCTTTGGTTTCGTAAAATTTCGCCTTTCACTAAGAATGGTCTGAATGGTCACCAAGTTTTCTGAATTTTAATTAATGTATGTGTACTTGAATTTAGTGAGGGCAATACGACACGAATATCCAAAAGTATCTCCTAGTGAAGTATCGATAGCTTACCATAATTCTAAGAACAGTCCAAGTATTAACGTTAAAAATCTAACAGTATTACATTACAATGATTATAAAAGTGTGTCTAACAAAGATGGGCAGCTTGAAGGTTTTCGTGGTTTCCAAAGATTAATTCCAAAAATTAGAAGTAGCAGAGCCGCATGGAAGCCTGACAAGAAAGAGTAATACAAATAAAAGATAATTAAAATGAACTAGCATGAAAAGAGATAAAGATTTTCAGTTAATGACAGAGAGTTAAAATGAAATGCCACAGATCGTTTAAATTTGGGAGAATTGATGCAGTTCAAAAACTGAAATACTGGATCCAGACTGAATTTAAGCCTTGGTAGTTTCCTTATTAATGTTAATATATGACATTTTTTTTTTCTTAAAAAGCAACTTTTCATCAAGACGTTCCTCCTAAGTGCTTTATCTAATAATTTTGTATAGATATCTGTAAAACCTATAACTCTGTTAAATTGGATTAGATTTAGATATCTTTTAAATTCTTTTATTATTTAAATTATATTAATATGTTTAAATTAAAATGCTATATTTCGTTTAAATACTGATATCTGTATTCAATACGAGGGTGAAAATGCGGTGTAATTAATATCGTAAAATATTTCATTCGTCGCTGACTTAAAACTGTGTAGTAATTATTGTACTAAAGATTATTTCCTGAAAATGTATTGCTTTTAGTGAACTCTGAGGAATATATACTATATCAAAATTATTTCGAAACCCTGAAAGTTCTTACTTTCGACATACCGCTCAAGAGAATACCTTAATTCTTAAATAGTATTATTCTCCGAATAGAAGGCAAATAACGTTTATTAAGTTTGATAAAGCACTCAAAGGATATTTGTCATAATATAGAATACTGCTTTTAAGTATTTACTGGTGAAAACTCATTCTTTCGAAAGGAATAATTTAATTAGTAATATATGCGCACAGATATTTATTGTATGAACTGTTATTGATTTGAATAGTGCTCTAAATTTCACAGTGACTATATTGTACATTGATAAAGTAAAATAAATTCAGTAGCATATATCTTGGATCATTGTCGAAGTTAAGTAAGTTCCATTTTCGTTTTAGCTTGGAACTACTGTATATTTCATGAAATGTATTGCAACATTCCATAACTATTAAAAGTTTAATATTTATTTCACTTTGAATAAAGTGAATCTACAACAACCGAAGTAAAACCATTGAAGATTCATTACTTCATCTAGTGCTTAATCCTTAAACGAATATGTGTAGTGTATTATCGATTGCATAGTTGCCTTAGGTGAAATATGAGATAGGTGTCCTTACAAAAAAGGGGGATATATTTAATAAACTGGTAGCCTTTAAGTTAATTTTTACGATAAAATACTGGACTTAGTTGCTGCTTAAATGACAGTCTGGCATGTTCTTTATAGACAACTGCCTAAAATTAAGCATTAAATATTGAATGTTTGTAATAATAATGCCCACAAAATTATCAGTTTAAATTTATTGCCCAAGGAGATATTCTCCTGACCAATTAATTCCTTCGCAATGGTTTTATAAATGTATAATTTATTTGTTTTTTACAATATAAACTGTAAAATTCCTTCACAGTATAAAACATACCAAAGAGGTCTCAATAACAGAATAACAAAAATTACTGAACCGGCTTCCGAAGCACTGATTAAAAATTGTGCAGAATAAGAACCTGTTGTTAAAGGCTAGTTAGGGGGCCTGTCAATTCTTCTTTCAGTCTCCATTCTACAGACATACAGAAATACAAGATAAATCTTGGGATGATATACCAGCAAAATTGGGGGTGAATAATATAGTAATGATAATTAGCGCTTATAGTAGAAATGGCATTGTTTTTTATTAGGGCATTTTTCTATTCAATACAGTTTTTCCTTTGGTTCTCTCTAAAACTAAAATTTAAAGAACAGTTCTTGAAAAAATGTTCTTTAAAATTCTAATTGAATATAACCTGAAACGTTTCAGTAAATCTGTAAAATAAAGGGAAAAACTTTTCAATTTGGATGCCCTGATTAACATCTCCATTGCATTGAAGTTCTTCCTAAACTCAATGAAACACCTTCATAAATGTGCCTCGTCTTAAAACAGCCGGCAACTTTTTTCAAGTCGGACATGTTTTGGAAAGACAGAAAACTCTGTGTTCCGGAATGAAGGTGTCTGAAGCCTTACGAAGATCAGTTTCTAATTAATTAAACTTTCCTAAAGGTGTAGGCACGGTTATGCAAAAATAATTTCATCAAAATGCAAATAGAATCATTTGCATTGCTAATCAACGAATCAAACATTACTTGCATAGCTGAATCATAAGAAAAATGAGGGTCTTTCTTAGCTTGCTAAACTTTTTAAACATATTTTATCCTTTTATCTATGTATTCCTTTCCCAGTATATAATTTTGACATTTTTTACCATTATAATCACTGTTTTAATAAAAATTATTTATCTACTGCTAACTAAACATATTTCTCAAACTGGAAACAAATTCTTTATATATAAATCGCTACTTTTATATATTTATACAGCATATACATATACCAGGAGAGTTTTCTTTATTTCGTGTAGCGTCACACAAGTGAAGAGAGCACTTGAAGCCATCTCTACATATAATAAAAGAAAGAGTGTTTCTGTGTGTGTCTTTCGTTCGCGCTGCGCGTAAGCTAATAGACCCACAGCTACGAAATTTGATACATAGGTGCATCTAGACAAGAGCCAGTGCACCTCGAAGCGATGTTTTCGAAATTTGAATTAGAACTTTTTATCTTTTGTGACGAAATCGCGTCTCTTTGATTTTTGTTCAACTTTCATCCTTGCGACTGTTTTTAGAAAAAGAATTTTGGAAAAATGATAATATTTTGTACTTTAAAAACAAATTTTAAATGAAGCTTCCGAGTACACTTCTCACATCTCACACCTTTAAAAAATGTGACTTTGGCAACAATTTTCCTGTCTTATTGTTGTTGATAGATTTTTGATGAAATCGCATCGTTTTCAATAGTTTCACTCTTTTAGAAATATGGGTTTGGGAACAATTTTTCTTCGTATTTCTTATGTCACTGTTTTTAAGAGTTTATTTCATTGTCATTTATATATATATATAATGTTTTTATTGATTTTTTTAATAAAGTTGTTCTGCAGAGTAAAATTCTGCGCGGAATTTTGTTTTTTGAGTTGCTTTCATATTTCATTGTCATTTATGTATATATATATATAATACATTTTTATTGATTTTTTTATAAAATTGTTCTGCAGAGTAAACTTCTGCGCGGAATTTTATGTTTTTTGAGTAGCTTTCATGTTATTTTTTGCTTATTTCACTGCTTGTAAGATATTGTAGAGTTTTGCATGATTTTTTTCCTTTAACGGAAAATTGGTTAATTTTATTACTAGGATAATTAATATTTGTATTAAGGGATATTGCTTATTTCATTGTAATTTTGTTATACGTAATAACTTTTTTTATGAAGTTGTTCTGCAGGTAAAATTCTACGCAGTTTTTAAATTTAACGTTGGTGTTCCCTTCAGCCATTTTTCCGGTATATTTAAAAGCCAGACGAAGGCTGGCAGCGACGCTGCTAGTACAATAATACATTTATACACAGAAAGTAGCTTAAATACATTTTATACACAGAAATAATACAGCAATACGTAAATTGATACGGAAACTTATGCAGCAGAGTTATTTATCCGGCTTCAAATGCTTTGAAATAATTAATCATGCAAAATAAAAAATCTAAATTTGAATTAACTGTGTTTTGCAGCATTGTTCCTTTTTATTACTTCCACAGTATCCTCTTTCAAGTATTAAGGCGATTGACTTTTGTTTTTATCATTTTTATTTCTTTATCAAGCAACGTAAATTTATTTCATAGATTAAATAATGAATATTTTAAAAAAATGACGGATGAATCGTATTTTATTTAAAAGTATTTGGAAATAAAAGTTCAGAAGAAAGTTGATCTACTGAATTAACTTATAATACTGTTTTTATCTTTTTAATAGACTTACAGAATCGCTCGCGGTAAGGTATGGCCTCTGATTACAGGATTATGTCTAGTCACAGCAGTGTTATCAGCCTTCTTAGATAACGTTACAACGACTCTTCTGATGTCTGCTGTAGCAATTAGGTAAAGATTTTTAATTTCATATATTTTTGTTTATGTAATATATCTTATTTGTTTTCATTAAGCAAGCGCTACAGATCTCGGAGTATAGAAATTGTGTACATCTGTATTTTCAATCTTTTTTATAAAGTTATCATGAATAGGTTTCATTCCTTTACGACTCGTAAAATGTTTCACATTTTTCGCTAATCGCATGTTAAATTAATTACGACTCCACCTGAAATCTGTGAACAAACATTTGTAGAATTTAATCATCGGTGTCGGTCGAAAACACCGCGGAATAAACAACGCAAGGCGAAAACGTAGTGGCACAAAACATCCCGGGAGAAAATAAAGCAAAGAAAAAAAAAACATCGCGGTACAAAATATCGTCGTCGAAAAATAGTGTTTAAAAAAACATCGTCATCGAAAATATCGGGATAAAAAAATAAAGTACCTACAAATCATCACATGACGATAACATCGCAAACATTTGTTTATAATTCAGGCTTTAATAATTGTGAAAGTATACTCGCATAATGATTTGTGAGCGCAAGATGGAAAGAAGGATAATATTTATTTTCATATTTTGTTATTTACTAATAAATATTTGCTGAAAATGTAAAATGGAAACTTAAGCATAGAAAATTAATGCAGCTTATAAGCACTTAATAGAATTTTAAATTGACATAGTTATTACTAAAAACGTCATTAATAAATTACTTTTATATAAAGTTTTTCTGGTACTTTTTCCTGAAAAGTATAATCTGAAAAAGATCAGAAAAAGGAGAATAAGTAACTGCATGCTTTTATCTATAAAAAAATTGTTAAGCTAATTATGAAATTATTTTCTTAACTTTTATTAATCTGATACTCTTATAGTGAAAATTATTTCTTTTTTGTTTAAATTTCTTGTTTGGTTTTTATAAATTTATTAGTTGGCAAAAAATATGAAAGTAAAAATTATCCTTATTTCCATATTGCTCTCACAAATCATTATGGGAATATACATTTACAGTTATTAAAGCCTGAAAAAAAGTATGTCTGCGATGTTATCGTCATGCGATAATTTGTAGGTACTTTATTTTTTACCATGATAATTTCGACTATGATGTTTTTAAACCGCGAAGCTTCTGAAACGCTTTATTTTCGATGACGAAATTTTATACCACGATTTTTTAGAACTGCGGTGTTTTCTCTTTTGATTTATTTTCCCCCACTATGTTTTGTGCCACGACGTTTTCTCGGCGACGTTTTTGTCCGCGATGTTTTCGGCTGTAAGCAAATTCAACCAAAAAAGCTGTAACCAATTCAAAAGAGATTTGACAGTTTTCACTACCTTATGCATTACCTCTAATTTACACGTGCTACGTATAAACATATATGTATCATTATTTCTAAACATTTAAATGATGCTTTGTGATTATCCGCACCTTCACGAAAAATCGGAAATGAGTATTGAAGACTCTGTGAATTGGCGAAACACGTTTTGCTTCATATGTACTATTCTGTTTTAGATAATAAACAAGCATTTTATAAGAAGCAAGAAATTTTATGAGAAAGAACAAAACTCCTGTACGACCGATACATGCATTTTTACAGCAGGTGGATGTAAAAATGTAAATATCGGGATAAATATAAAGCCTGTAAATTCGCGTACTCAAGTTCCCGTATGGAAACGAATATACTGGAATATACACGGCAGTACTACCGACTGTTGGAGCCGGGATACGGGTAATCAGAATGTACTATTTGAATAAGAAACTGGCATAAAAAACTTCAAACAATACATACGATACGTAAATAAAAATATCTTCTAATGTGTTGTACACTAACTTCTAATTTATTGTAAGTAATATATTTGACAGACGCATATAATACCAAGTTCTCCACTACAAATACTACAGTATGTCAACTTTATATGAAAAGTAAAACGCTTTTAGTCCATAAAATTAAGGAATGTATTTTGTGCGCCATTATACCTAAAAATACATATATTTATAAGGATATAACACTTTGGGCACTATCAGAGAATTTATTTGCATATATTTGTTTTATTAAACATCTCAAATTATCGGTTTTTTTCTGGAATGTCTTGAGTTCTAATAATGAGAATTTTTACTTCCTTTACGATTAAGTGGTGTGCTCACCAGTTACCGAGTGGTAAAGTAATTGAACACCGGTAGTTTGTCAGGGTTCGAATACTGGAGAACGGGCTGGCTGCATGGGCTTATTCGTGGTTTTCTCAGAGTGTTATTCGGATATGAGCCAGTCTCTTAAACAGTTCTCCAGGCAAGATAAGTCTGCCTAAGATAAGACGTCCCTCATCTTAGGCAGATAGCACTCGTGTGCTTTGCCATAACCGAATAAACCAAAAATAATAACTGTGTGATAGCTCAGTTTTAGGCACAGCGGTCATAGTGTTATTTTTATAGTTTCGTCGTTAGAGGCAATTGCTCTGACCATGACGTTCTTTGAAAACCTTCTTTGAATTTCCTTCGAAATAAAATAAAGAAACTATATCTGAAGCTTTTAAGAGATACACAGCAAGAAGTTTTTCTGCAGTATTGATGACCAGCTATTTTTATGTGTACCAAAACTTTTTTAAATTATCAATTCACCACAATTTTTAATTTTTGAATGGTGTAAAAGATTTCAGACATACAGTTCATTTAATAATGCAAACTAATCCCTTTTATTACGAGAAATATAACATTATATCTGGTTCTTGATCTTTCGACGAAGAATATGCGAAAAATATACTGGAGTTCAGTGTTGATAGTCGCTTCAAAATGGTGGAACGCAGAAGTTTTCAATATTTAATAAAATGGGATAACGGAGCAAGATACTGAAATCTTTCTCTCTGCATCAATGCCCTCTTTCAGTAGAGTTCTAACCAGAGAATGAATATGTAGTTGCGTTCTGTAACAAAACAAGATATTAGAACAGTTAGAACAAAAGACTCTATTCAAAGTAAATCAACGAGCAATTTTCAATCTCCCACAGTCTGGGATAGTGCTATTTCCCTTACCGCTATTGCCCATCATAAGCATATAAAGCAGTTAAGAACATAATCAAGTATATCAAGTAAATTTTTCGCTTTTTATAGAAACCTTTCAAACCCTAAGCTTTTATGCTTAGTTATATTTTAATGCATCTACAGTTCTATATTTATAATTATAGTGGTTAACTCTGCTAGCTGCTATATCGTTGGGCTTCTTTCGAATTTCACAGAAGACCTTGAATATTTCTAAGCGTATAGTACTGGGTAGTACGGAGCACCTAAAATATTGGCGATCCTGAAAGTTGTCTCCAGTGGTTTAGTGATAGGGAAAATAAGGGGAAGACTCTTTCATCCACTCCTCGGGGTGTTCTTCATTAAAACTGGGACAGAACTCCTCCGCTTTAGCTGATATAAAGTCTGCCAACCCCTGTGTTGCACCATGGGCGACGTTCTTGGTAATGGGTAATGAAAAAGCTAGTTGATCGATGGATAATGGCATTCCTTATGAACATGTTGAGTTAAAAGTATCTGGTCATTTGAAGCAATAACATTTACAGTGTGCTAATATTTAATGTAATTCCATCCGGAAATCAATTTTCGCATTTAATTTAAGAAACTGATAAATGTTATGCACAATAACCGAAAATTCTAGAATTTGTCAATCGCGTTATTGTTCAAATCATTTACAAAATATCTTATCTTATATCATATGAGAAATCTGATATATACATATTGACTTATAAGCCTCTGATTTAATAAATTTGTACGATAAATATGAAACTCAAAATTACTAACTTTAATTTGGCTACTTGTCCTACCTGGAATCAAAACGCTGTCACTGGAAAAACTACCTGCATTATGTCATGTGCTATGCCGTAAAGCTCCCGTCCAGTAGCAGGCCTAATTTAAACAGATGATTAAAATCTTTGGTTCATCTACTCTCTCGAGATGTAATAAGTTACATACTAAACTGCGGGATTCTCCTGGCATGCATAGTGATGTGTAAACGAACAATATATGTCCTAAGAAATTATTCTTCAAGAAAATGTTATGTGATGAATATCCACTTATTTCTGGCTTACCAAATTTCTATCTATCTACTATGAATCTTATTTGTATGCCAGCAACTCCTCTGAAAATCTCGGCCATGACTGCAAAATAATTGGTGCATTCTCTGCTCAAGTCCTATATAAAATATCGCATATATATGTATGTATGTATATACAATATGGTAGAATAACACGATTTCCCACTAATTTAAGATCATACAACATATGTATATATATACATACTCTGATACGTTATGTATATAGACAGGTAGATATTTATATAGGCTTACATATATATGTGTATGGCATCACCTATATATGTATGCATATGTATTCATATAGGCCTACTCAGTATTAAAAAGACTGCTAAGTCATTGTGGTAAAATTATATCATTTCAGTATTTTACTAGGGAGTGTTAAGTTTACAACATTCCAAAATTTGGTCGACACTATTTTTGCATCCTCCAAATTATCTCGTCTGAAAAAGAGAATATAAAGTGATAATAGAATACATCTAAGAAAATCTTTAATTTGCACGTGTCTTCATGCCGGTTTGTTGGTATTGTGGGGTACTGTGATAGCTCTGGGCCCGGGTTCGAAATCCTGAAGAAGACGTTGATTTTTATAAGCATGTATTTTTTTCAAAGCAGGAGGCATTAAAGTGCATGTCGAGACAAAACAAATCTCTCGAAAGATGGTTGAAGAGAAGTGGAAAATCCTCGTATCTATCCGTTGAGGTATTCGCCATCAAGACCGCTACGGAGTTTGTCGTGCTTCATCCTGGGAAACATTTTCGGAGTGGAGATTGCTAAATGCCTGATAAGTTTGACCATCCCATGCATGAGGTTGCAAGCGGCCTGCCGTTTGGTTCAGCAGTAATGGATTTATTTCTGTTTGTTTCGCATTTATTACTTATGCTTTCCAGCAAGCTTTCCATTTTGTGTATTTGCCTACACTTTGCAAAAGTTCAT